TTGTGAGATTGGGGCGGGCTAGCAGCGATTCTTTGAGGAACTCGTGAGATTGGAGCAGGCTTGCAGAGATTTTTTTGATCAAAACGCAATTCTTTTTGCAGCCAATGCTCATGGAGCTGCAGTTCCGCAACAAGTCCGAACGTGCCAAATGGATGGACACCTTCGACAAGGGCATCCAAAAAGCCCCAAAAACTGGTAAGCCGTGCAGCTGCCTCCCGGACTGTCCCCTCCGCCCGACCACCTCCGAACCCCCGCGTCACCACGTGAAGTATTTCTGGCAGAGGCTGACGAAGGAGCACAGCTCGGGCTGCGAGTGTGAAGCGAGCCATTTGAAGAAATACCCAATCACCCAAGATTGTCTGACTGTCGATTTTATGAAATGCCAGCAGCAGGGGGCGGGGCTTCAGCGGCAGAAGTGTATGAGGTTGAAATCGAGAGAATTCGCGCATCCCGATCTGGGTTCGCCGACCCTGGTGAAGACGCCGGAGAAGGAGGGGCCGAGGAATGGGTTCGGGGATATGTTTAGGAGGATGGGGAGGAGGAAGACGAGGGTTGGAGAGGAGGTTAGGCTCGTCGACAGCTTCAGTCTGGATGAGCCGGCCGTGGAGATACATCATTTGTAGTTCTTTTTTGTGCATGTGAAAATTCGAGAACTTTCCCAGGCTATATCTTGGCTTTCGTTTCGTCTATTAAGGCATCGGAGGTTTAAAGCGAGCAAGAAACGAGAGAGAGAGAGAGAGAGAGAGAGAGAGAGAGAGAGAGAGAGAAAGAGAGAGAGAGAGCGCGAGAGAGGGAGAGAGATAGGGAGAGAGGGAGAGAGGGAGAGAGTGCGAGAAAGGGAGAGCGAGAGAATGATCGAGACAAGGAGCGAGAGAGAGATAGCGAGAACAGAAAGAGAGAGAGAGAGAGAGAGAGAGAGAGAGAGAGAGAGAGAGAGAGAGAGTCATAGATGTCTTACGACAGCGCAGATACCTTAATTTTCTACCCCTGCATCAGCCCCTTTGTTACGTAATTTGTTGCATGCCGTTGTCAACGTTTTTCGGAGCTGGAATTACTGTAGGTATCAAAAATTCATTCTGCTATCATTAAAAAATACCTAGTGTAAAATACAGTAATCCCAGTCCCGTTTTTATGCATGATATTGTTCGATCCCAAAATGACCATTGCCACCTCAAGACGGGTCCTAGAAGTCACCAAGGCATACTGTATGAAAATATATATTTTCCTTTGTATGGTATGTCGTAGAAAATTGCATGCGGAACACCTACTAATTTTGAAAAAGACAAACAAAACTAATTACGACATGAAAAGAGCAATAATTTTATACTGCTTTAATCATGCGCTTTTTAACTGACTCTACTGGAACTTGGAATATATTTGTCTTTTAAGGAATCTTTCAGAAGCAAACTATACTAAAATCGAAAATGTGGTAAAATTCAGGTGGTCGGGCGGATTTAAATAATTATATTTAATCAAGTTTTCAACTAATCTTTTAACTGGCTACGTTACAGTCCGGATGCCGCCGCGACGCACCGACGCGCAGACAGCGAAAGAGAGAGAGAAGGAGGAGAAGAGACAGAGAGAAGCAGAGGAGGGATGGGTACGACGGCTCGAGCAGCATTTTGGTAAGTACTATCCTAACCCCGTACACAAAAAACTTCGGCTTAGGATTAAACTTAGGCTGAACTTAGGCTTAGCTTAGGCTTAGTATTAGGTTTGGTCTTAGGCATATGCTTAGGCTTGATTAGGCTTGGGCTTTGGCTTAAGCTCAGGCATAGACTTAGACTTCGGCTTAGGTTTAGGCTTAGGCATCGGCTTCGGCTTAGGCTTAGGCAGGGCTGAGACTTAGGTTTAGCGTTCGACTTAGGATTAACTTAGCTTAGGCTTGACCTTATGCTGATGCTTCAAAGAGACGTACTTTTTCAGAAGAGCGCAAAGATGCCGAGGGCGCCATTGCTGAATACCTCGACAAGCGAATGGCTTGGTTCGACCGGCTTCGCTCGATCGTGAATGAGATGCCTTTCAAGAACCGGCAGGACATCCCCGATAAGGTGAGCTTTAGAAACATCCAAATTCAAGATCAAGCTAATCATTCATTTCAGGTAAAAGCCGCCGTACGCCAACGATTCCGAGAACTTCGCCAAGCGCGTGTAGAGCCAATCAGCAAACGTAATGCTTTTATACTTTCCAATCCTGCTTTTTAGTGGTGGCAAAATGCACGGCAGCTCGGGACCAAGATCTGCTCGACTTTTTCGACGATGCCGCCGAGGTAAGTTATCATAGGTTACTGCATTAAACCCCGCGGCCCTTCAGGTCAATTACGCCCGACTGCAAGCGGAAAATGATGTAAAAATATAGCTTTAAACAGATTCTATCCAATTTCAAAGCTATAGCAAAGTGTGACCACTCTTTCCCCGAATTTCGGCGACTATCCCCTATCTAGCTTATAACCCCGTAATGCCAAAACTTTCCTATACTTTAAGCTATTAACAAAAAACTATCTTTATGATTTTGATTATTACAAATTTATAGTGCGAATTTTCAGGTTCAAAACGTCGAGGATGACTCGGGATCGGACTCGTCGGGGAGCGAGAGCAAAAATTTGCCCCGCCGGGTGCAGACATTCCATGGGACGAGCAATCCGCGGAAAGAGAGTGGGGTTTTCGGAGGCTTGTTAGGCTTGGGCTTAGGTTTAGTCTTTGACTTGGGCTTAGGTTAGCCTTAAGCTTAGCCTTAAGCTTAGGTTTGGTTTACGCTTAGACTTAGGTTTACACTGAGGCTTACTGTAAAGTGTTTTTACTCAACTTGGAGTTTCGATTCGGGACCAAGCGCATCTTGTGCAGAATTTTTCGCTGATTCCGAATATGTTTTCCAAATTTGCTACGGACTTTTATTTAAAAACTCATTTTTGGTAACAATTAGGCCGAAAAATGCCAAAAATTCAGACGCTGGCCCACTATTCTTTGTTTGGGGCTATGGTTCCCAGGGGCCCTGAAGTACCCTCTGACAGCACCCTACCCGGTTGGCACCATGGTGCATTGGCAAAGTACTCGCTTGCCAAGCGTAGGGCGGCGGTTCGAACCCCCCGCCTTGCATCATTTCTTTTGCTTTTAGCATAAAAATCTCATTTTTTTATCTAAAATGCTTGTTTTGCGCTGTAGGATGCTTGTCGAGCCAACGCCTAGTCAATTTTGAGGTTGAAATTAATGAAGAAAATCGAAAACTATAACGATACCTTCATTTTGGTGAAAACTAGGGTAATAATTGCCGAATAACTTTCAGAATAACGGTCCGTAGCAAATTTGGAAAACATATTCGGAATCAGCGAAAAATTCTGTACAAGATGCACTTGGTCCCGAACCGAAACTCCAAGTTGAGTAAAAACACTTTACAGTTAGGCCTAGGCTTAGGCTGAAAACTAACTTTTGTATTTCACGAATTCCGGCGCTTATTATTACACTTACCCCCATTCCAGAAGGCTCCTTCCGACGTCACACAACCGTCCCGAAGATGTTGAGCCTCCACTCGGCCTCCACCTCATCAGCCGGCATGGAGTTGATGCGCAGCCGGGAGGAGGACATTGAAGAGGTCTCTGATGAGGAGCCCTCGACAGTGTCCACACGGTCGGATGGCCCGTCGAGGGCCCGCGGCGATGAGGTGGCGCAGATGACGCAGAGACTTCCGGTGAGTGGCGTTACCTTCCGTTGATCGATACCTATCGACCTGTAATAAGGTCCTTTTTCCAGCTATCGATGAGTCTACGCGCCCGAAAAGCTGCCACCCAAATCATCAAGGAAAACGCCGACCTGCGCCATATCAACAACACCTTGAGACAGGACTTGGCTTTGTAAGTTGAGCACCAGCCTGGCTCTATTTCAAAAATTCAGGAGCAAAACAGCGCTCTCTTTGTATGAGAAATCGAGGGTAGCGCCGCTGGGGTCAAACGGAAATGGTTGCCCATCGGTGCCGGCTGCAGAAACGCATGAGGTAGCTTGGTTTTGTACGTTGCGAGGCCAATATTTCTAGGCGCTTCGCAAAAAGGAGCAAGAACTGCGGGACGGGGAATCAAAGTTGAATCAGGATCGCGAGGATCTAGAGGCGAAAAAGCAGCAGCTGGAGGTCAGTTCTTCAGCAATAGCTTTTTTTCCTCAGATTTTCAGATTTTTAGCAAAAAAAATGTTTTTCAGGACCGTCTTCGTGTCAAGGAGGAAGAATTGAATGAGAAATGGAGAACCCTGCTCGAGCGCGAAACGATACTCCACGCTAATCATATGAACAATGATCGCAATTCAACCCCGCCTGCAATGGTTAGTTTTTGGATTATTTAGGCTTGGCTTACAAGGATTCGTTTTTAGGTGATATTGGAGTTTTTGAACGAGACCTAGCTAGTTCGATAGAGAAAAAAATTCTGAACAAGATGTCGTTTTCCAAATCTGCTAACCGTGTACGCTGTTCAATAAAAATTAATTTGAAAATCATTAATCTAACCATCATTTTCCGCCTGATCCGCAGATTCGGCGCTCTGGGTGCGCGTCAACATAGCCCCCTTTAACCCTCCCTCCAGCCATGACCAGCTGGCCTATTGGTAGTGCGCTAGCTTCATAAGATTTTGTCTTTTTTTGCCAGCGGGTTCGACTCCTCGCTAGTAAAACTCTTTTGCTTTTTGCTCGATAATGCCAAATTCGGTTTCAATGGCATGAAAAATCAAAAAGCAAAACAATAAAACACAATAAGTTCCGAACCCTGGGCATAATTTTGCAAAAAGTTTGATAGGCGCCGGCACTATCCACTAGGCCACGATCTCATGCGGATGCTGGTTCGCGCTGTGGGCTATGTCCCGGGCCTGATCATGGGTCGCAGCCTGACGTCCAGGAATTTTTTCATTAAAATTAATTTTTATTGGATACAGTACACGGTTAGCAGATTTGGAAACCGACATCTTGTTCAGAATTTTTTTCTCTATCGAACGAGCTAGGTCTCGTTCAAAAACTCCAATATCACCCAAAAACGACTCTTTGTTAGGCTTGGGCTTCAGCTTGGCTTAATCGTGGGCTTAGGCAACCTTTCCTCCAAATCCAACCCTTTCCAGACTCGTCTCATCTCCCCAACATGCGCCGGCCGGAAGGAGCAAGCAGCTGTGTAAGTACCTCCGAAAGTACCGACAAATTAAACCCGTTTCTTTTTAGCCAGGACTCATACTGAAGCTGCAGTTAGGTAGTGTTGATCGTCAGCCATGTCATTGTCCCCCTAACACAGACTTTCGCTTTTAAATTCAATAAAAACAATTCGGCCTTGTTCCTCATCCACGTCGTCGTGATTGGCATAACTTTTGTGGGCGATTCGCCTAACCAGAAGGAACCCGAGGAAACCCCGGCTCGGAATTGACTGAAAATTTGCACACAGAGAGAATCGATCACGCTGATCATCACCTTCCGAATTTGATAATAATCTTTAAAATTCGATATATTTATCTTTTAGTGTCAATTTCGCCCCCCGAAAAGTGTTTTGCAATTATGCCGTTCCTTGTTGTTCTGAAGTTCTAGTTTATTTTAAGCAGCCTATCTGATAGAGAATTTTTTTCTAATTCGAATGGTACATTTCTTTAAAGCAGGCTTCGTACTAGACGGCATCTTACAGCTGTTTGAAGCAGGCTGTTTTTCACCAGTTCCCATACAAAAATCGGGGTCCATATAGTTTTTCGTTAACGCCAATTTTTCCAGTTTTCGAAAATTTTGAGTTAGAGTTATTCAAAAAAGAAATTTTTCTCAAAACATTGGCAATATTTATTTTTGGAAAAGCGGCCGGGAAAATCCAAATCAGCCAGGTCGAAGTTTGACGATTTTAGCTAAAGAATCGCCTTAAAAGTGGAATATCTCGAGTTTTAAAGATCAGTAGCAAATTCTGAAAACCAGGTAATAATCAGCATTGTCGATTCTATTTGTGTGCTAATTTTCAGGCAATTCTGAGTCCGGGTTTATTCAGGCTCCTCTAGTAAGTAACTATTCCATTAAAAAAATTATATCAACCTTTTTCAGTCCGCCGATCTCACCCGCATTGAAGGTACTGGCCGTCGAGACGAAGAACAAGAAGAAGAAATGATTACAAAAATATTATTACCTAAAAATTGTTATCTATTGAATTCCGGTGTCTAAAGTGCTTTTCCTTCCCCCGTATCTAGTGGACCAACCGACCCATATTGTGGCTGTAGAAAGCTGATTATGCCTAGTAAATATTGTGTATGAGAGATTCCCCACTTCCGCCCAAATGACTGACTTTCCTGCGATTCACACATTCCTATTTCCCCCCCCCATTTCCTTCGCTTTAACCATTGCCCCCTCTATATTGCTCACCAACCCCCCAAAATTCGAGATTCCAAAATCGCGTCCTTCCCGCAAATTGAAGCCATTTCATCCTCTGGGTATATCCTATTTTTTCTATCTTTCCACTCCCCTTGATATTGTTATTCCCGACCGTGTTCGATCATCCTGTGCTCCCCCCCACTGTCCAATTCCATAAATCTAGAAGCTTTTGCATTGTTTTGAACACAGAATAACACAGAATAGCGCAGAACTAAGACTTTTGGATTTACATGCAAGACTACGTCGTAAAGCGTTTTGGACAAATCTTTAGAAAGTGAGAGGTAGGAGAGAGACAGCGAGAGAATGTCGTATTGTCGTCACCCTTCGTTGCATCGTAGCGATTTCAAAGATCGATTTGGCTGCATTTTCGCAGAACTAGCTGTTCGCACCAATATTTGCCGAATCTACATGCAAAACTACGCCGGAATATACTTCAGAATAATTTCAAGAAAGCTGAATTTAAGAGAGAGAGAGAGAGAGACAGAGAGAGAAAGATATTCCCGTATCATCTCAACCTCTCGTTTCACCATCGGGACTTCAACAGCCGTTTTGAGGCCCCATTCCCAAGAGTCAGTGTTCTCCCTGAATTTTCAGATACTGCATGCAAAACTATCTCGCAATTTGCTTCAGAATGAGGATTATAGAGCTAGAGAGAACAGAGACAGCGAGAGAAAGATGTTGCCGCATCGTGGACCGGCCTTGTATGATAGGATTCGATTGCTCTGATGGTTGTTTTGGGGTTTGTTGCCCAGAGCAAGCTGTTCTCACTAAGATTTTCGGAATCTAGCTGCAAAACTACGTCGAAATATGGATAAAAAGAAAAAAAATTTGAATAAAGAAAAAAGAGAAAACAGCGACAACTGTTACCGAATTGTGAGATCTCTTTTCATAATGTAACCAAAATCCTTTCAAACCAAAAAAAACTTTATTACACGTATTGTGTAAAGTACGGATTGCAGATGCTGACAGGTTATATTCACTGGAATGCTCGGTGAATCGGTGCTTTTCTTGGATGGCCTCTTCGGGGAATTCGAGTTCCCAGATGCGCCTCAGGTGCTTGCCCTTGACGTCGCGGGATGCGCCGAATGCCGTCATGCCCTGGAAATGTTCGGTTAACGAAGCTGTTGGCGAATTTTGGCAATGGAAAAGGCGTCGGCTAAATAAGGCTGAAAAACAAAAATCAAGTTCCAAAAGAATATCGATCGAATAAATAATTAAATTACTTTGATGCTTTGAAGGTGCCGCTTCGTCTTTTCCGTGGTTGCGACCTTGGCTTTCTCGTAGTGCTTGTTGTCCCGCTCCCATTTCTCAGTGCCAAAGCTCGCTTCCGCCGACTTCCGGAAAATCCTAGTTGTTTCCGAACAGACAGCAAACAGCAAAAACTAAAGAAAATTAAAAAGAAATTAAATCCAGGATCAGAAATCGCGATTTTTCGCGAATCGCTTTTTTGGTCTCGGGGACATTTACATCTAATGACAGACCGACAGTCAGACAAGATATAGTTATTGCAAATAAATACAGGAGTTTCTACTATTCTTAAACGTTCAAAATTACAACTTTCGATCTTAAAAAATACAAAAAAAAGATCAATTTTCGACTAAATTTGACTAAAAATCTATAGTTTTTTATGGTTTTTTGCACTGAATACACACCAAAAACATTGATAACACAATTGTTATTACGTAACTAGGCCTTTCTGGACTACTTTACTTTATCTTCCCTCAGCCGATGGTCCCAAAATTTTTTTCGCTATAACTTTTTTATCTTACATTTATTTGGGGTTTAATTAAAACTTTACGTAAATTCTTTGGTGCGCTATCGTATGGCTTAGCGAAAACCCCGAAAAATGGCTGGAATTGCCGAAAACCCGGGTGAAGTAAAGACTAGCCGAAAAGAGGTTGCGCCCCTCCCCCCCGTTAGTGCCAAAGAACCAAAAAACTTTGTTATAATGAAAAGTTCAAAAGCTTACCTGTTGTTTGTATGCCTCCCAATCTAGTCTGCGTTTCTCGTCCTAAGGAAAGGTTTTAGTAATAAGTGTAAGAATGCAATTTACCTCGCGGTTGGGGTCCATCTTGCTCCCATTTCTGGGTGCCAGGCCACCCCTCGGGCACCCGATCAGTCATCAGTAAGCTAAATTAAAGGTTTTGATTTGTTTTTGGCTATGAATTGCCCGACAGAGAGCAGAGCGTCTAACAGGCCTGGGGATTTTGGGTTAAAAAAAGCATTTTTCAATTTTTCGAAATTCCCCTCCACCTACCGTATCTCGGCTGCCCGTTATTCTACCGGGTTGTAAAGTACACCAAAATACTCGCCAGAACAAGGCGAACATTTTGTTATATTTCACACACCTGTACGATGACGGGCAGCCGAGATACAAAAGTGGGGGGCGGTAAACTGCAGTCTACCATATTTTTATCTCAATTGTCTAAGGTTCTTATCCTCAACAATAATAAACAATTTAAAAACGCAGTAGCTGCTGCTGTTAAAAACGTGATGAATTTAATAAAAAAATTTAAATAGCACGTTAAATAAGAACTTTTTTAGAGAAAATCTAAACCGTGAAGATTAACGTTTTAAACTTTTGTTTTTGGTTCTAAACAGGATGCAAAAGACTCTTGCAAACAATTTGAAAAGGTGAAATCCTTACTCGTAACAGGCCTTTCTCAGCTCGCGGTTTCGCAGGTACGTTGCGTTGTCCAGGTCCGAGCAACCCTAAATGCGGGGTAATGCTACAACTTAGAAACTGACTATATTGCGCTCCAGCATCTTCTCGGCTGCTTCTATTTCCTTGTCCTTCCAGGATATGAATTAAGAATAAAAAGTGAAGGCGACGGTTCACTTCACTCTTCCTCCCCCAGCCGGTGGTCCCAAAATGTTTTTCGCTATGACTTTTCTATATTACATTTATTTGGGGTTTAATTAAAACTTACGTATATTCTTTGATGCTCTATCGTATGGCTTAGCGAAAACCACGAAAAATGGCTGGAATTGTCGAACATTTTTGGGAGTTTCCCGTTCGGGTCAAGCAAAGGCTAACCGAAAAGGGTCGCCCCCCCGTTAGTGCCAAAGAACCAAAAAAAATTGTTATGATGAAAGTCGTTTCGCACGCTCAGCCTGCGTTCGTTCTAAAGAAAGGTTTTAATATATAAATGTAAGAATTGAACTTACGTCCTGGTTCGGATCGGCCATCGTGTTGTTGTTGTTGTTTGTTGAAGCGGATCCCCTATAAAGTAATGATCAACAAATTATGCTAAGAAAGAGTGATTGTAATAATACAGATGAAAAAGTTTACATTTTCATCAAAAAGACAAAATATCGATTTTTCAACCCCAATAAATCAGCTATTTCGTCGGAAATAGCACATGTGTTTTGGTAAAAGCCCAGATTTTTCGATCAATAGAGAACGTTTTTTTACATTACGTTTAATCATCCCTGAACCTAAAAACCTTAGAAATATTATTTAAAAAGCTGATTTTAGGTTTTAGGCCAGGATTTAGGTTAAAGTAAACGGACTTTTTGAACCTAAAATTATCTAAAATTCTGAATTTCTCAAATATTTCCAACGGTTTAAGAAAGTTTTGAGCTTAAGCTTAGGCTTAGGCGTACTATTAGGTGGTTTGGTTAGTTTTAGGCTTAGGCTCTGGCCTACCCTTCGGCTTAGCTTAGGCTTAGATTAGGTGGCTTAGTCTTAGGCTCAAGCTTAGGCTCAGACTTAGGTTTCGCTTAGGCTTAGGCTTATGCCCAGGCTTCGGCTTAGTCTTCGGCTCAGGTTTAGGCTTAGGCTTAGATTAGGCTTGGCTTAGGCTTAGATTCAGGCATCGGCTAGAGTTTCGCCTTAGGCTTGGGCTTAGGTTAGGCTTAGGCTTGCTTGGCTTAGTCTTAAGCTTAGGCTTAGGTTTAGGCTTAGGATTAGGCTTACAATTACTTACTTAGATACTTATACTATAATTACTTACTTGGTAGATTAGGTGGCTTAGGCCTCGGCCGAGGCGTAGAGGGTTAAAGGAAAGTCTTGGACCAGCCGCTTTATATAGACAGGTCCGATCGGCGGCTTCATCTATATTCAGCGTCGCTGGACTCTCTGGAATTGGATGATTGGAATTGCCCAAAACCTGGGTGAAGTAAAGGCCAGCCGAAAAGAGGTTGCACCCCTTCCCCGTTAAAGAACCAAAAAACTTTGTTATAATGAAAAGTTCAAAAGCTTACCTGTTGTTTGTATGCCTCCCAATCTAGTCTGCGTTTCTCGTCCTAAGGAAAGGTTTTAATATATCAGGTTGGAAAGAAAGTAATGGCACAAAATCTTTCAACCGCTGTAAAAACCCGCAGGAACGTCCGATGCGAAAGTTTGTTATATGGTTTGGTAGATCTTCGGATGCTCTATCACGATACGAGCCTCAAGGCACCCAAAAACTGACGTATGCGAAGATACAGGCCTCAGAAGTTTCGCAGAAAATTAGGTGATAGCTTCCAAGCAAGGTATCTTTGCATACAGGCATTTGCATACAATACTTTTAGCAACAATCGATAGCCCTCGAGGAGTAGATATCGATAGATGTTGAGATCATCAAAATCGGACACTGGATGGCCGAGATATGGGCCCTCCAAAATCAATGCATTTTCTCGATTTTGGTTCGGGAGCTGAAGCAAACGCAGCGCCAAAATGTATGGGATTTCGAGAAAAGTTCTAAGAAGTAGACCAAATTTCAAGGGGCCATATCTCGGTCATCCAGTGTCCGATTTCGATGATCTCAACATCTATCGATATTTACTCCTCGAGGGCTATCGATTGGTGTTAAAAGTATCGTATGGAAATGCTTGTATGCAGAAATATCTCGCTTGGAAGCTTTCACTTAATTTTATGCGAACCTTCTGAGGCCTGTATCTTCGCATACGTCAGTTTTTGGGTGCCTTAAGGCTGGTATCGTGACAGAGCATCCGAAGATCCACCAAACCATATAACAAACTTTCGCATCGGACGTTCCTGCGGGTTTTTACAGCGGTTGAAAGATTTTGTGCCATTACTTCCTTTCCAACCTGATATAAGTGTAAGAATGCAATAAAGAGTGGTTGTAATAATAGAGATGAAAAACATCATACATTTTCATCAAAAATACAAAATATCGAATTTTCAGCCCAAAAATCACCCATTTCCCACCATTTTTTCGGTCGAATTCCAGATTTTCCAATCAATAGAGAACGTAAAAGCCTAAAACCCAAAAACCTTGGAGATTTTTATTTCAAAAATTCTATTTTAGGTAGAAATTCGTTTTTGGACCTAAAATGACCCGAAATTCTGAATGTCACAAACATTTTCTAACTGTTTATGAAGGTTTCCTATTTAAAATGTGATTACTATTGAAGGTTTGAGTTCTAAGCCGAAGCTGTTTCGTGGACTGTCATGGTCGGACATTCCATTTGATCCGTATTCAGTTCAGCCTTTCGGTTGATCGGTATTCGGTCGGGGGGCGCCGGGTTCATTCGATATTCCGGCGGGCTCTTGGATCGCCCCGTTTCTCCCGACAAACATCTTGCAAAATACCCGCTGTATGAGTGGATGGGAATAACATGCCAGCGTCTAGCTCGGCAAAAAAGGCGGCAAAACAACGATTTTTGGAGAAATAGCTGTAGCCTATAAGCTCACAAATACTTAGTAACGTAATATTAGATGCCTCAATAGTGCTTCAGTCAATTTAACTATATTTGTAGTGAAAATATAACATAAAACCCTAGAAATTTCTTTGTTGTTGCGATCTTGCTCGAAAAATCTATTCTTTCAATCAAAATTTGTAATTAAAGTTAGAAAGTTAGTTAGTTCAAAAAAGTTAGAGCTTAGAGACACTTCGAATATTCAAAATAAAAAAGTGAAAAAATGGAATCCTCGGAAAGAATTCGTGCTCCACCCCCCGATAACGTAAAAGAACCGACTATTGAAGTACACATTTGAGAGTGAGAAGTTGCTGACAGGCGATTTCGAGGGAAGCTGAATCTGCCAGCTTGTTGTGAGAGCGTCGTATTTAGATTCATTTCGATTGTTTTCGTCGTATTTCCAACCTCAATATGGACACAAATATTTATAAAATTTGTTTTTAGTACCCGTGTACCCTTCTACTACGACGATTACGTCAACAACAAATAGGTCGTCATCACGAATCGAGCGCGGCTTACAAGGGAACCACCTAAGGTCAAGGTGGCGTTTCGTTATGGGACCCAGCTTATTTTGTGCAGAATTTTTTGCTGATTTCGAATCCGCTTTTATTTTTTGCTAAATAGTCCAATTTAAAAAGTTATAGCGTTTCAAAGTTCCATTTGTTCCCAAATTTTTGAACTTCAAAGTCATTTATCTTGCCTTTCCCGTCTGATTCCTCAAAAACGAATATCGCCATCGTATTCAGAAAAATTTTCTCTATCGAATGAACTATTGAACTCAAAATTGTTCAAAATTGAAAAAATCGACGATATGGTATGGACTCCGTTTTTTGTATGGGAAATGGGGAAAAATTGCCTATTTCACACCCCCGTAAGTGATCGTCGATAGGTCGTAGCGCACTAATGAAATATACCAATCGAATCAGAAAAAAATTCTCTACAAGATAGGCTATTAAAAATCGACTGCCCTATTAAAATAAAAAAGTTGGGCGTCGAGACAGATGGCTTCCCGCGGGCCCAGATATGACCTTAAAATCGCTATAACTTTTTAAATTGGGCTATTTAGCAAAAATTGAAAGCGGGTTCGGAATCAGCAAAAAATTCTACGCAAAATAGGCTGGGCCCCATAACGAAACGCCACCTTGACCTTAGGTGGTTCCCTTGGTAGGCTTAGAATTAATGAGACTTACTGTAACCGTTTTTTGTTGACCGTGGGATTTCGATACGTGAGATAGCACATTTTGTGCAGAATTTTTCGCTGATTCCGAATCCGTTTTCAAAAGTTGCGGAACCCCTCTAGATAAAAAGTTACAGCCGGTTTTCTAGCCCAAATGACCGAAAATGACAAACTTTAAATCCTAATAAAAAACTCGTGGAACATTTTGTGGCATAAAATACAGCACATCTAGGGGTAAAAAAACGTGCTCTTTCGAATCGGCCACCTTACAAACCCGTAGCTCAAAATTCACAAAATTTCAAAAATTGGCCATCCAGGGCGTGGGTCCACCGAAAAACCTTTTTTCATGAATTTTGAGCTACGGGTTCGTAAGGTGGCCCATTCAAAAGAGCACGTTTTTTTACCCCTAGATGTGCTGTATTTTATGCCACAAAATGTTCCACGAGTTTTTTATTAGGATTTAAAGTTTGTAATTTTCGGTCATTTGGGCTAGAAAACCGGCTGTAACTTTTTATCTAGAGGGGTTCCGCAACTTTTGAAAACGGATTCGGAATCAGCGAAAAATTCTGCACAAAATGTGCTATCTCACGTATCGAAATCCCACGGTCAACAAAAAACGGTTACAGTTAGGCTTAGGCTTAGGATTAGACTAACTAGGGAAGCCAGTATAAACCCGGACTCAGAATTGGCTGAAAATTTGCATACAGCTAAAATCGACCAAGCTGATCATCACATCGTTGTCCAAATTTGCTACTGATTTTTAAAACGCGTGATATTGAAGTTTTTGGTGTCAATTTTCACCCCCGAGTAAGATTTGCCATGATGTCGTTCTTTTTTGTTTTGAGGTTCTAATTCATTTTAAGCAGCCTATCTGATAGAGAATTTTTTCTAATTCGAATGGTATATTTCTTTAAAGCAGGCTGTTTTTCGCTATTTAGTAGATATTAAATAGAGGGAGAGAGAGAGAGAGAGAGAGAGAGAGAGAGAGAGAACTTTTGCCGCATAGTGAGAGCTCCCTTCATAATGTAACCAAAATCCTGTCAAACCAAAAACTTTATTACACGTATCGTATAATGTGCGGATTGCGGATGTTGACAGGTTATAATGACTAGAATGCTCGGAAAATCGGGATCAAGGGGTCTTGCACCGGACGGCAGTCCTCGGGTAAAAATGCGGCCGTCTAAGACGGTTTTTCAAAACAGGAAAAAATTTGACTAGAGCACAACATCGCAAACTTTGAAGCGGTATACAAACATGGGATAGACAATTTTGGCAGGGGAAGTGAAGATGGGTTGATCATTTTCTGATGGCTTAGGGCACCATCGTTCACTGGCCATTTCCGTGTGAGGCGTTGATGGGCTTTTCTTGGATGGCCTCCTCGGGGAATTCGAGTTCCCAGATGCGCTTCAGGTGCTTGCCCTTGACGTCGCGGGATGCGCCGAATGCCGTCATGCCCTGGAAATGATCGGTTAATGAAGCTGTTGACGAATTTTGACAATAGAAAAGACGTCGGGTGAACTGCCGGTCGTCCCCCAGACAATGTAATCCGACTGTATCTCGGCTACTCATGATCCTACATGGCTGTAACGTATACCAAAATGCTTGCCGGACCAAGACGCACATTTTGGTATACTTTGCATTTCCGTACGATAAAAGGTAGCCGAGATACAAAAGTCGGGGCCGGCCAGGGGTTTTCTGCAGTGTTATCAGACCCAGTCTTCTTCTTAATGAGCCATAAATTCTTGAAAATAGCTATTCAGTAAATCTCGAAACCGAATTCGGAATCGGCTCAAAATTCTGCACATGATAGGCTCGATTTTAGCTTCTGGCTTAGCTTGCTTTGTTTGGTAAGACTTTACTTTCCCGCCCCCTCCGGCCGGAAGTTACCAAAAGTTTTTCGCTATAGCTTTTTTATATTACATTATTTTGGGCTGTAATTGAAACTGTTAGTATATTTTTTGATGCTCTATCAATGCCGTAGTCAAAATTTCGACAAAATAGCGGAATTCTCGAAAAAATTTGGGAGCTTCCGGCTGGGGGAGGGGATAAATTAAAGTAACGTTCCACCGAATTGCTAATATTTTCAAGGGCTAGATTCTCATTTTTTTGCTTCGCTAATTTATCCCCAGATTCCCGTCGCGTATTATTGCGATCGTCCGTTTTTTGCACTTTACATCTAGGCGACCCTGGCCACTGCGAGGGGCACACGCGGCGCGTGTAAAAAACGATGGTGGGGACCCGCGGGCAAACACGGTCGTCGGGAGGCCTCACAAATCCGGGATAGACCTATGTACAGAGACGGCCGTCTCTTTACTATGTCCCGATATATGTTTGTAGAGAAGAGAGAGGGAGAGAGGTATGGACCGGGAGGCTGCTAATCGCTCTTCGCTAGGTAATGTAATCCAGCGGACAAACGCTCAATTTGCTACTACAACCAAATTCTTTTCTTAGGAGTCGGGGATGGAGAGCTAGAGAAAGCGGAGGTGTAGTTCTGGACCGAATTTAAAGCTTAATTTTTGATAGCTGAAGCCATAAGTTTCAAACTTAATTTTGAACTCAATGATCTTTAGAAAAGTTTGTTATCATGCACTTTTAAACGCGTTGTTGATTAATTTGTGCATGAAAAAATTAGGTTTTCTATCCCAGAAAATGGATTAATTTTTGCCTTAAACGGTGGCTTTAAGGTATCGCGTGAAAACGGCTACCCTGAAATCCCGAATATGGTTCCGGTACACGTTGGAGACGTAGCAATACAAACGACGCTCTGATAAGGGGCGTTCACGCCCACTCGCCGCAAAAGCTATGCAAGACAAAAGAAGCGGTTTTCCGGATTGCCTGCATCAATTTCTTTCATTAAAACACTCAAAATGTTGGAAATAGTCGAAATGTGAGCAAATCTACAAGCGAAATTGCAAACATACCTTCGTGAACGGAGTTATTTGCAAGAAACCGAAAAAACGAAACACACCTATTTACGGTCGAACGGAATTACGAACGTTACGTACGTTTGTTCGACTCGGAACCATACCCGGTGGGGCACTATACTCGGAATTTTAGTGTAATTAAACGGCTAAATTCCAATTTACTCCCCCGCTTTTATCTTAATTTGCTTTATCATTCGCAGGCTCAGGCTTAGGCTAAGGTTTAAATTAGGATTAAGTTATCTCTTGCGTAGCTTAAACCTAGGCTTACCCCGGCTCTAACTTAAACGGCTTGTTTTTAAAAATCCTCCCCCGTTCTCACCACCCTGATTATGATCGATATCCGTGACCACTTGAGAAGGGGGGAAAGGGGACGTGGCCCTCAAGCCTTCAGGGATCTACCCCCGGCTTCAACAGTCGTTGTTTGCCCCCTTTCCGTCCCCCCTCAGGAGACCCGTCATCCCGAATGGCCCCCCGAAGCGACAAACATCTAGCCTCCCCCCTCTCATCCAGGCTTTTCGCCCGGATTCGAAATAGCAACATGAGGGGAACGATTGATTAGGGGGTGGTCGATCAGCTACAAATCAGTGGGCGGCAAGGGAGAAGCGGAAGCAGCTAGCCAAAGCTCATTTTTGAACGTCCAGAAAGAACCTATCTAGACTTGACTCGGACAACGACATAGACCAACAAAAACACCCCACAAAAAATTGACCTTCTGCGACTCGAACTGGTTGGAACCGCTCTGGAGCCGGATGACCGGGTCGTTCTTCTCCGGCTCGACAAACCACTGGCGCTCGATCCCCTCGTCGGCCATCTCGACCTTGGTGGCTGTGTTGCGCGGCATGCCGAAGCCCGTTTTGCCCTGGACACACAACATTCAACGATGATTCCGACATTCAAGCAAATTTGTCACTTACTAGGGGAGCGCGAGGAAACCTGGTTAATCTACTGAAATTTGCATACAGATAGAATCGGCCATGTTGATTATCACCTCGTCCTCCGAATTTGCTACTGATGCTTATAACTCGAGATATTTATGTTTTAACGTCGATTTTCGCCCCGTGAAGTGTTTTGTCATGATGCCGTTCTTTTTGTGTTGAAGTTCTTATTTATTTAAAGTAGCCTATCTGATAGAGAATTTGCTTCTGATTCGAAAGGTATGTTTCATTAAAGCAGGCTTCGTCTAGACGACGTCTTACAGCTGTTTGAAGTCGGCTGTTTTGCACCATTTCCCATGCAAAAATCAGAGTCCATAAGTATCATCAATTTTCCAATTTTTCCAATTTTTGAGACTTTGAGTTAGAGGGCTCTTTCGAAAGAGAAAATCTTTTTTTAGAGGTCCAGTTTTACGATTTTGACTAAATGATCTCTTTAAAATTGCTATATCTCGCGTTTTAAAACTCAGTAGCAAATTTGAATAGCGAGGTGATGATCAGCGTCGTCGATTCTTTTTGTGTACAAATTTTCAGCAAATTCTGAGTCCGGGTGATTCGGGATCCCCTAGTCAGAGCTCATTAAACAGTGCTACACGGTTAGGCTACGCTGAACAACACCAAAACACAAGGGCACACCTTCTGGGAGTCGAACTGGTTGGTGCCGGACTGCAGCCGGACGACCGGGTCATTCCGGAGCGGGTGCACGATCCAGCGGCGGTCGGCCTCGCCGAACTCGATCTTGGTCTGCGTGTTGCGCGGCATGCCGAAGCCCGTCTTGCCCTGGAAGAGGACGGGACTGTACGATGGACACTACGACAATGGGACAATGGACAAAAAGGCAAACACGACACCCGAGATACCTTAAAAACCTCATAAGTCCGTAAGACTCCAGTTGACCCCCCAGCCGCCGCCCCCAAACTTTTATATCTCAGCTGCTCTTTATCGTACAGAGGTGTAAAGTATACCAAAATGTTCGTCTTGGTCTGGGGAGTATTTTGGTATACTTTACAGCCGTGTAGGATAAAAAGTAGTCGAGATGCGTTAGGTTTATAGCGGCCAAGGGGTCATCTGGGGTTCAGCCAATTAATCCTGCCAACACCCCAGCTCAACACCCCCGTGCACACCTTCTGCGAGTCAAACTGGTTGGTGCCGGACTGCAGCCGGACGACGGGATCGTTCTTCGTCTCTTCCACAGCCCACTTCTTGTCCGCCTCGCTCCAGACGACCTTTGTGGCGGTGTTGCGCGGCGTACCGAAGCTGGTCTTGCCCTGCAGCCCGGGTGGTTAGAGGGGAAATCGATAAACAAAAAAAACGCGCTTATGCTAATTTTACAAGTCTACCAAAAAAAAAAAAGGAGAGAAAGCTTGTGTTAGCGCGGGTTGTTAATGTTGCTAAATATTTTTGAGGAAGACGCCAGTAAGCATAAAACTTTTACTAACTTTCTGATTTTACTAATTTTTATATTTTTTCTGGTTCAGAGGTATTTTAATTTTCTATACCCGCTCACCTTTTGTGAATCGAACTGGTTGGTTCCTGATTGAAGTGGGACAAGCGCATCGGTTTGGCGGAGTTGAGCCAGCGTGAATTTTCCGTTTCTAAGACGAAAATACTTTTGATAGCAAACTACGCATTGAAACTAAAATTATCAGCAATTTTCCGTTTCTAAAAAAATTAATATAGCTACAAATTAATTGTAAAATTATAAGAGGTTATTTCGCATTATCGGGAGAAGAAAAATTTTTTCTATTAAGCTAGAAATGTCTAGTAACTTAATCGGAAGTATTTTGAGAATGTTTTTGGTAAACTAAAACAATATTTTCGCTAAAAAACTATTTCAAACTATTTCATTTTGCAACGTTTTTCAAGAAATTTAAATTTTGGTCTAAATGGTCATTTTTGGCCAAAAATCGATATTTCCTGTATTTTTAATAACATTTTGTAAGTTTTTACGTTTATAGATAGTGAAAAAAACAATTTAGTAACACGTTTGCTATTTACATTTAAAAATTAATAACGATTGCTAAGAAAAAAGTTAAGTTAAGTTTAAAAACTCCACTCCTCACCTCGTCCTCCTCTGATCGCCCTGTGTCGTTTCCGGCTTCACCACGGCAATCTTCAGCGGCTCTAAAACGCGGAAATCTACAGTATTAACAAGAAAAGCCGGACTTACGCTGCGACATTTGTGCATGTATATATTTATCTGGGGGTGTTGCGCGCGCATATGCCGTTATTGCCTTTTTCCCGGCGGCGCTTTTTGTAGTGTTTGTTGAGGGCGGAAATTGGCGGCTTAATCCCGGGGGCAATATTTGCCACACACCACCCCCAAGCACCCCTCCCGCCATAACGATATGCAAACAAAAACGGCGCCTTCTTGCGGGTTTCTGGAGGGGAGCCGCCGCGAGTTGCAAATTATTATCGCTCACCTGCATGGGCTGGGGCGGCGTTGTCTGCTGCTGGGGCGGGCATCTTTCTATCTGAATCAGGCGCAATTTTTTTAGATAAATTAAAAAATTTTAAAGCCGGGAACTGAAACGAGTGAGAAAATTGAAAACTGGGCCCTTGAAACTTGCGTCGCGGTCCCCGAATTTTACGTGTGCTTAGGCTTAGGTTAGGCTTAGGCTTCGGCGCAGGCGTAGGCTTAGCTTTGCTGTTTAGGCTTAGGCTTAGGCTTCAACTAAGGCTGGCGCGTAAGCTAGGCTTAGGCGTAGGATTAAGCTTAGGTTTGCCCTAGGCTTAGGCTCATGCTTAGGCTTAGGTTTTGAGTTAGGCTTCAGTTTGGGCTTAGTATGAGGCTTAGGTCAGGCTACGGCTTAGGCTTAGGCGCACGCTTATTGTTAGACTTCAGGAAGCGCGAAAAAAAAAAGCCGAAAATCCGCAATTCATAAGGCATGGTTTTGTAGCGATTCTGGCAGCACGACCAGTTATAAATAGGTACCTTAAATCAAGGAGTAAACGTTAAGAAACACGTCTTTTCTTGGCGCGAAATTTACATAAAATGACAATTTACCGTGTCTCTGTCCTAAGCAGGGCTGGGCTTAAGCCGACGTCTAAGCCTGGGTCATGCTATAAGAGAGAGAGAGAGAGAGAGAGAGAGAGAGAGAAGGAAAGGGAGATAGAGAGAGAGAGAGTGAGACGAGTTCATCCTAGGTCTGGTTCACAGTAGTGTGCTTTAACGTATGAACTACAGGTGTTACTGTAAAAAAGCACTAAAAAGAAAAAGCGAAAATCCGTAAAATCCGCTTTACAGTAATTCCCGGCGAAATCGCTATATAGGATCTGCGGATGATGGAGAAGGGATGAGCGGCGTTCCCGAAAAATGGATTGATCAGCCGCCGTGAGAGTGAAATGAGAGGTAGGGCCCCCTAGAGGAGGCCAGGGAGGGCCCAGGGTGTGGATGTGAAAAGAAATGGGGAGGCAAGGAGCTCTCGATCAGCGGATGCCTCAGACACACACACAAGCCCACAGCGCCAGCCACCATCCCCCCGTCAACTGTCCTCCTCGGCCACAAACAGAGCAGAGCAGCAGCAGCAGCCAGTGTTCCCCGCCACTCGATTCACGCCCACATCCGCCCCTCTCTCTCTTGCACGTCTCTCGCAAATCCGCCTACACCCCTGACTCATCAAAAAGTGATGATTATCATTAGGAAATTAGGGGTGGGAAGGGTCGAAATTGCGACTAACCGAAATTTCGACAGCCAGAATCCGATAGGCAAAAATGCCGACATGTTAGACCAACAAATCAAAATCTCGACGGCGAAAATGCCGACAATTCAGAATATCCACAGACCAAAATCGCAACAAGCCAGAATCTCGACAAGGCCGAGCGCCGACTAGACAGAATCCCGATAGACCAAATTCTCGAAAAGCCATAATCTCGACGGCGATATCTTGACGGCGAAAATGCCGACAATCCAGAATAACGACAGATCAAAATACCGACAGATAAAATGCAGACATTTCAGGTCGACAGGGGAAATGCCGACGGGCCAAAAAGTCGACAAGCCAAAATGCTGACAGGCCAAAGCCCCGATATTCCAAAATTCCGGTAGTTAATCATCACCGGCAACGCATAGTGGTTACGTTTTGAGCAAAAAATGACAAGCCTGGAATCGATTAAGCAGTATAAATGCGTGAATAGCCGTTGCGTAGTTGCCTAGCGAGCGCGGAAAAACCATAAGGGTTCCGTAGCGAACAAAATCCATGGCCATGCTTTGTCCGGCCCTTAAACGCTTAGGCTTAGGCTAGGCTTAGGCATAGGCTTGTTACCAATCCTCCATTTTCGTTCCATTTTATCACCAACAAATTTCTGGTCCCTTAGGGCTAATAATGGCCCTGGCCAACAATTCGGCACCTGTTAGCGCGCGCGGTTGCCAGGCTGCCCTCGGGTATTCTATTGTTTAGACGAGGGCATCTGCAACCCGTCACACTCTGCTGGTTCTGAAATCTGCGCCTTTATTTACAGCCTCTACGGTTTTATTCAATAAATTTGTCATCATAATTACTACCCTTATTATTATACGCCCATCGCTTTTCGATCCGTGCCCCTAAATGGGCAACAAAAAGTCGAAAGACCAGGAAGATAAAGCATGTAAGTTCTAGAAAAAACAACGTAGATTTCCAATCAATTACAGTATCGCCATATAGCAGCTGGGGCCACTCGCTGGACGATTTGCTGTGCGGGGATGGAAAAATTTGTGATGGTACGTATGCTTACTGTAAAGTGTTTTACTCAACTTGAAGTTTCGTTTTGGGACCAAGTTCACATCTTGTGCAGAATTTTTCGCTGACCCCGAACCCGGTTTCCAAATTTGCTGCGGAATTCGATTTAAAAAGTTAATCCGGATTTAAGTAAAAAATTTGTTAAAAAACATGATTTGTGGTAAAATTTCATTTTTGGCGATTTTCTCCATTAGAATTGGCTGGTTAAGCGCTTTACGCGCTAAAATATGATTTTACGAGGCAAAACATAATTTTTATGCAAAACGTTAGCAAGAAACACGCAAACAAGGGAAAAACTTCAAATCCCAATCACAAAAAATACCAGAAAAGTTTTTCGGTACGTTGGTCTCAAAGGACGGTTCGTAGAACATTTTAACATATTTTGTTTTTCAATTTTTCTATCAAACTTTCAAGATAAAGCGTGATTCATAGCAAAAATTGGGGCATTTAAGAGAGTACAAATTACACCGTTCGTGGACGCTTGCGCGTGCATAGGAGCACCGCGTACCGCTTTTCCTAGCCGTGCTTTTTGTTTAGGAATGAAATTGCGTGGTACGTGCGCAGGTCGTAAAATAACAACATAGATACTTTTAGATCGTTGGACGCCGATTTCGCTGAGGTCAGGCGAACTATCGCCAAATCTTCAGCGCCGATCAACGAGTCACCATACCGAAGGCCGACGGCACAGTATGCAAAATTCCCTTCTTGAAGTTTTCGCTACTATTTATGCTCTCAATAAAGTTCCGTACATTTCAGGCTACGCATTCGATGACCTATCGCTTGAAGATCGACCCCGAACAACCACTAGAGCCCGTCGGCGATCGGAGGTGACTACACGACGCACCAGTAGACGCAACGGATCGGTGATCAAGGTAAACAATCTGGATAGAATTAAGGTCTAAAAAAATCTATCTATAAAAACTAGCTGCTTCATCCCGTTTACCACATGATGCGAAGGGCCAACTTTTCAGGTGCAACCCCTACCCCACTCGGCCGGAAATCTCCCGCGACGGGACTGGGAGTACGGATACGGTATAAAATTTCATTAAATTTTAAATTCTAGATTACGCAGTAGTTTTTTATGCTATTTCATGATATCGTAATCATAAGCTCTATAAAAACCCCTAGATGAAGCCGAATCCATCAGGCCGATCTCCGCTGATGAGTTCGTGGCCCCGGTGCATGTACCAGGACGACATCCAACATACGGTTCGTGAATTAATAAGCTTTTAGTCCCATAAAAAAGCTAAAAATATTCATAAAAACTTTTACAGGCGGTGCGAAACGCAAGGCAACGAAAAAGCGCGTGAAGAAGCCGGCGAAAGGAGGCACTTTTAGGAAAAAGAAGGCTTCGAAAAAACGTGTGAAGCCCAGGGGAGAGGATTGGAATGGTAACCCAAAACGCTTTCAATTTAATTTTTACTAGATCCGGTCTCCAGCTACATTTCCGCACCATCGGTTTCCACACAACCCATCCAGATTTTTATCGATACAGCGCGTGGAACGGTGAAAACGAATCAGGGTAAGTTATTTTGAAAAATACGTCTAAATTGAAAGCAAAAAATTACTAATAAGCTTTATCTTTCAGCTCCGGGGGCTGTGGAAGTGGTTCGGGATGGGGTACGAGGTGGAAATATTGGTATGCACTTGCCAGGTTGCTCCAAATTCCGCTTTGCTAATTTTTCTAATGTTGGGTTCCAGGTCAGCGCAGCTACAACGATTATGCGACGTCACCGAACAGTACCGCTCGGGCAACGCGGTCGTTCGCTTGATCGAAATGCGCAGGAGGCGCGAGCAAGAAAAGGTATGTGCGAATCGTGAAAAATTTTATAACCTAAGCTACAGAAACTACTGAAAACTAGAAAAAACTATTAAAGGCTCGGTAAACCATTAATCTTCTTCGGGCATAAATCTGCCCAAAAACGACTTTTTAGCCTAGAACTAACGGATCTCACTAAAACAATAGTTTAGAAATATCGCCAGCTTTCCGTTCACCACCTCCTGGAGCCACAGATTCATCAAGCTCCGGCTCGACAGGCCGTCGCATAGTTCCGCCAAAACGATCCGGCGACGCGGTATGGTAGCTTCTTCAAACCGCTTAGCGTTGATAAATACTTTCAGGCACCCCCAGCGCCCTTCCGCGTCCTACACGCCCCTGATGATCTTCTGGCCGTTCGCCGACTTCCCACTGCCGACGTCTTCAATCTCTCCGTATCCAGATGATATTCCGATTGCCATATCTTTGCCGTGGAAATAAACGGGTCCTAGTTTCGCGGATTCTGTTTGCAAACAAGGTAAAATCATGGAAGATTTATTGACACCCGCAAAAGCCTAGTGATTAATAACACACAAAAAACACAGCAGATCGAGATGTTAGAAATGTAGCTGGGGAATTCGTATTCATGCAGTGCAGGGCGGCGACGAAGGGTGGAACAACTAGACGGCGGCCGCCTCATCCTCATCCTCGTTGTTCTGGCTCTGAGCACTAAACGGAGCATGAGATCAGTTCCGGAATCCCTACCGACAGAAATCGGAATCGAGACGAGTGATCGTGGGCAGAGTGCGGATCACGCGCGGACGGTAGTCCTGAAAAAGGAAACTGAGGATTAGGAAAAGAACATAATTTACCTCGTTCTCAGAAAAGGGGTTGTTCTCCAAGTAGACGAGGTCAATCTTGGGGAGCAACACCAATTCCTCGTCGACCACCGACCAGTCGGGGAGCTGAATCAAAAGGGGTTGAAAACCAAGGGAAAATGTACCTTGTTTTGCTTGGCCCAAAATCGGTGAGGTTCTGGAGGTGGCTGAATCCGCGGGCCTCCTCGAGACTAAAAAAGGGTGAGTAAAAAACAGGGCTCAAGTCTAGGAAACCCCCAGCCGGCTTTCAACTTTTCTACCTTCCTCATTTTATTTTTCGTTATTTTTCCTTTTTCGACTGAACTGCAATGTAGTCTTACTAATTAGCCTACGGCGAACATTTTGGTATACTTTAGAGCTCGCTAGCACAAAGGGGGCCGAGGTACAAAAGTTGGTGCCGGCTGGGGGTTCTAGACTCTTACCAAAACAGAAAGCAGCAGCTGAAAAAAAACACAGAAAATATTAGAAAAAACAAACAAAATACCGGTTGTGGTTGAGGTCAAGGATTTGCAAGTCGCGAAGGCCGGCGACCCCTTCGATACGCTGGATTCCGTTCTGCGCCAGGTAGAGCTCCTCAGATGCGGCAGCTCGTCGAGCCCCCTAAATCACAACGAATTATCTTCAGTAAAATGAAGCAAATACCTCCATCTTGGTCAAAATGTTGGCCGGCAGCGACAGCACGTCGAGGTAGAGCAGATGACCGACGTTCTCGATCTTGCGAATCTGGTTGGCGCCCAGGAACAGCCGGCGGAGGTTGATGTTGTTCTCCAAATTCTCGATCTTCTTGATGCGGTTGTCGCCCAGCTCCAGGTATTCCAGCGCCGTGCACTGAAAGAAAATTTGAATCCGAAAAACAAGACGCTGAACGTTTTCCAGCCCTTCAATCTTCTCGAGCTTGTTGTGCACCAGGAAGAGCGTCTCCAGGTTGACCAGCGTGGACAGGCCTAACAATAAGCGTAAAAATAGACAGCGAAAAGCAACCTTCAAGCTTTTGGATGCGATTGAAAGAGAGGTCGAGCTCGACGAGATTCACAAGCGTCTCCAGACCCTCGATCTTTTCGATCTAAAACGAGAAATATTATTGGAAGAAGAATGAAAAAGAAATACAAGAAAACAAAACTGTCTAAATTTACCTGATTGTCATAGAGGTCGAGCTTGGTGAGCGTGGTCAAATTGCTGAGCCCTCGATCTTCTTGATCAAATTCCAGCGCAGGCAAAAGAAGCTGATCTGAAAGCAAAAGGTAAAGAGTTCGGCGAAACTGCGTGCCTTCTTCAAAAGTCGAAGTCCTCGATCTTCTTGATACGGCAACGGGTCAAATCCAGCTCCTCGACATCCGGTGAAACCTAAGGATAGACAATAACTAGAGTTAAAAGCTCAAGATACCTCGATGACCTCGGGCTCCTCACCGTCGTCGAGGATTGGAAGCCCGTTGTGCAACACCGCGGCGGCTATCTTGGGAGAAGATCCTCGTAATACGGAGAGTATGAGCGGTTCATCTTCCTTCACGAAGCAGCCGGAAATGTTAAACTTGATTTATGGAAATCGATTTTGCTTGTAAATTCGAGCTTATCATTTCCGCTTGGCGACGAAATGACGAAGAATCGTAAGGCGTTGCGAATCGTACCAAATTCTGCGATTTTTTGCTCAATCTCGTTTTACAAAAATTTATAAATGGAGGAAATAAAACGAAACGTCCAGTTCAAGTTTCAGTTTCAGCTTCAGCTTTTACGATTTCCGCTTCGTGAAGGTGGTCAAAAACAGCGCAAAATATTTCGAAACGTATCCTTTTTTCGTATCAGGAGGTCCTCGAATCTCGTCAGTTTAACCTCGAATTCAAAAAAATCGATGTTGAATCGAATTTAAAAATTTTAGATGTGGAAGAAACAAAATGAAACGTTTAAAATTCGAGCTTCCCAATTTCCCCTTCACGAAGCTTGGTTATAAATAGTGATGGTATTATTCAAATCTCAAATCTAATTTGCATCCGCCTAATCAAATCTGCCGGTTTGATTTGAATAAGGTTTCAGCACTTCAAATCAAATCGGATTGATTTGGACTTTCAGGTTTGAGTTCAAATCTGAAAGATTTGAACGAGGATTTGAAAGAGTCGAAAAAATCAATAGCTCATTACGTGGATGCTAATTGTTGAGGCATAAAAGCAGGGATTTCCGGTTCGCGCCAGCTCGGCCATAGCGATTTTGTTATGATTTGTTGCGGCATCTCCATAAGATTTGATTAAGGACCGGAAGCTTAATCAAATCCTCGAGACCCGATTTGAACTCGTCCACAGGATTTCAAATCAAATCCACCGATTTGAAATTGAAATTTTGCCTTCAAATATTCGAATTTGAGCTCTCAGATTTGACTCAGGATTTGATTTGAATAACCCCCATCACTAGTTATAAATAGAGTGAGGAGGCCTAGGCTAAAGCCTAGGCTAGCCTAGGCTTCCTCAGGCTTTTTAATTTGCATCGCCTAGGCTGAGCCTGGGCTATGCAAAGTACGCCTGACCTCTAATTAGTCAGGCTTTATCTGGAAATTTTATGTAAAGTCGTATAATATTCGAAGTTTTGCCGAACAAATAAGGAATTTTTTGAAACTTCCGGGGTCGAAGAGCTGTATTGGGTTCAAGAATATTCTACAAAGTTAGGGTACTGTTTTTGACAAACCTTACGGCACGATACGTTAATAGCACGCGGATACACAAAAGCCAAGAGTCGGATCAAACGGGCGGGGGATGCAATTGCCTCTCCTGATATCTTGCCTATATGTTTCCCACCTTCGGCATCCTTGTAATTTGTTATTGCGACAAAAGATACCAACGTTTTAGATGCAGTAACCAGATTAACATGTTTTCACGCATTGCATAAAAAGCCTGCGTAAATCTTCAGGCTTCCGCCAGGCGTCGGCAGGCGCGGAATGCAATTCGGCCCAAGAAAGCCTGAGGAGGCCTGCCGCCCTCACTCTAGTTATAAATAGAGTGAGGAGGCCTAGGCTAAAGCCTAGGCTAGCCTAGGCTTCCTCAGGCTTTTTAATTTGCATCGCCTAGGCTGAGCCTGGGCTATGTAAAGCACGCCTGACCTCTAATTAGTCAGGCTTTATCTGGAAATTTTATGTAAAGTCGTATAATATCCGAATTTTTGCGCGAACAAATAAGGAATTTTTTTGAAACTTCCGGGGTCGAAGAGCTGTATTGGGTCCAAGAATATTCTACAAAGTTAGGTACTGTTTTTGACGAACCCTACGGCACGATACGTTAATAGCACGCGGATACGCAAAAGCCAAGAGTCGGATCAAACGGGCGGGGATGCAATTGCCTCTCCTGATATCCTTGCCTATATATTTCCCACCTTCGGCATCCTTGTAATTTGTTATTACGACAAAAGATACCAACGTTTTAGATGCAGTAACCAGATTAACATGTTTTCACGCATTGCATAAAAAGCCTGCGTAAATCCTTAGGCTTCCGCCAGGCGTCGGCAGGCGCGGGAAATGCAATTCCGGCCCAAGAAAGCCTGGAGGAGGCCTGCCGCCCTCACTCTAGTTATAAACAATGTTTCGAAACGGGCACTTTTACGTGCGGTGTAGAAAATTCTGCTCTC